ACACAGTCGCAATAGCAACCCGAAACACGCTTCTCTCACTCCGCAATGGCAGTTGGTGAAATTACTAGAAAATCTTGTCCCAAAGCAATGCTTAAAGTCAGTAGTTAGGAAAATTAGCTTAAATGTTCACAGCTAGTCGTATGAATCAAATTTCTTATTTCTTTGTCTGATTCCAGATCACTCACGAGAGTCCTGATCCCAATGAGTGGCGTGTCTCAAGAGTCTTCTATAACGGACAGTACTTTGACTCAGTCCAACAGCTCATCACCGGGTACGCCGACGGTTCGGTTGAAAGAGACACGCCTGACGCAGACGTACAAGACGACGACATTCTGTTTTCTACCTTCGTGAGGAGGGGCAAGCCACAGCCTGCTTCTCCTAGTCGGGGTCCAACGCTGACTGAACCGGGCGGCAGGCGGTTACGCGGTGCGGGGCCGACACGTCGAGTATATGGGCTGGAGTTTCGACTGGCGTTTGACCACGTACCAATCCATGCAGCTGTATGACGTCAGGATGAACGGACAGCGCATTGCGTACGAACTGAGCGGACAAGAGGCGACGTCATTTTACTCCGGATACAACCCCATTATGCTCAACAACCTCTTCCTCGACTCTTATTGGGATATCGGAAGAAGCTTTGAACTTGTCCGTGGCATAGATTGTCCGGAAACCGCAACTTTTTTCAACACACTTCAGCAGAGAAGCACCAAGGAACCGAGCCTGATGCGGAACGCCGTCTGCGTCTTCGAACTGAATGCTGGGATACCGCTCCGTCGCCATTTTGATTCCAATTTTGCAGGTGGTTTCAACTTTTACGGTGGTATGGCTGACCACGTGTTGGTGTTACGTCACGTCAACACTGTCTACAACTATGACTACGTGTACGATTACATATTCCACCAGAACGGTGTCATCGAAGTCCGCGTCGGCTTGACTGGCTTCATACTGACATCCCAAGACAGGACCGACTACGGGTACCCCCTCTATGCCGGTGTGATCGGAAATAGTTTCATCAGCACTCTTTCTAACTACAAGGTGGACCTCCGACAATTCTTAGGAAACACAGAATAGGTAAGAGGAAAATCCATTTATATACATGTAGTAGACCTCCCCGTGAATACAATAGCATCTTTGTATCCTGCAGACCGTTACCGCCGTCCATGAACATGTTGCTTTTCTTGTGAAACAGGTTTGAAACAGTGGACATTGTTTTGGAGAACATCACCAACCCTGAGCGACCGGAGCTGCGCCACATCCAGACCCGCATCCAGCGGAACCTCAAGACTACCGAGAAGGAAGCCGCCGTGCAGTACGACTTCAACCGGCCCAAGTACTACAACTTCTACAGCGAAGAACAGAAAAACCGGTATGTGGCAGTACATGCACTATCCAACTCATCAAATAAATCTTGTGTACTGGCATCTAGCGTTGGAAAAATGTGGTATTGTTTCACAACTTGCTATATATATGTTCATTCATTCAAATTTATATTGGTGCGAGGTGTAACCCCTTTTAGGTTCTGCCCATAGAGACGACATTGGCCCGATATCACCATGTTGATTTTGTGCCTAGGTTCGGTTCGAATCGTGGTTACCGTGTGCAGCTGAACGGCATCGCTAAGACACTGCTGCCGCGGCAGGACTGGGCGCCGATGCGGGGAGTGGCCTGGCAGGACTACCAGCTGGTCGTGACTCAGAGGAAAGAATCGGAGCCCACCAGCTCCTCCATCTACAACCAGAACGACCTGTACGAACCGGTAGTCGACTTCCAGTCCTTCCTCGATGACGATGAGAACATCGTTGACGAGGACCTGGTTGCCTGGGTGACGCTCTCCACGCACCACATTCCTCACTCCGAGGACTTCCCGACCACGGCTACTGCGGGGACCCAGATGCAGTTCTTCCTGCGCCCCTTCAACTACTACGACGAGGATCCTTCGGTGGGATCGTCTAACGCCGTTCTGATCACCCCGGGAGAGAAGTCTGGTCCCGCCCGGGTGGAACGGTTCGGTACCCCGACAGGCCCCGCCTGTGTGCCCGAGCAGAGTCCGTTTCACTACAACGGGACGTGTCGAGGGCCAAAGTGAGAAGGCAATGCTTCCACGAACGGATTGAATGATGATAGTACTCGTTATCGCAATGTATCCGTAGTGCATAATCGTAAGGTATATAAAAACTGATTTATACATGTATATAATCAAGGATATGTCACAGAACAGTACTAGTGTGTTGGTAATACTTGCAAAGATGTGTATTTGTCTCTGAGTGTGAAGGTCACTCAAGTCAATAGCGATCCTAGCGGCTTAACAACTGTCTGCAGAGAAGACGTTAGACGTTCGATACAGATACAGATTAGTAAGAGAAGTATTCGTTCACAGACCAGCAAACTAAACCAGCAATCATACAAGGTCGATTTATAAAGAGCACATAGGCATTAATTTCCTTAACCCTCTCCCTACTATACTGCCCGACCATGTACCAGAACTAGTAGCCAAACGACTTTCATTTTGTACAAGGTTAAATTCTGAAGTCAGTCTCAGAAGCCATCGATATATGTTCCTGTTATTAACCCAAGAAGTATACTAAAACTAACCGGTAGGTAAATACTAAATTGTGTGCATAGGGAAGGTTATAACCCCTGGTGTTCGTATTTGTCCGTGTGTGCACATGTGCACGTGCTGTAACTAAGTTTAGACAATGGTAAATATTTAAGCAAGAACATGCTCGTTATAGAAATGCAAAGTCATGCAGAATTCTATGCGGCTTTTACTAGATCTAGATATCTCTTAAGGTGAAGTACGCAATGCAGAAATAGTTCGACCTTTATTACTTTATAAGATAAAGTTGAGCTTGCCTGCATAATGATTATGATGACTAACATTTGGTGATATCATTGCTGATGTTTTCATGCCAATTCAAGAGCATAATATGAACACTGGTGATCCGGCGATTATGGACAAAGACGTGTGTGTCATGCTTTCCACGGACGTCCGACAATATACAATGTACCTTTTTTTTAACTTCGATAGCATCTCCTATCCTTCTTTAAATCCATATTGTGGGCTCTTCCTATAAATACTCTTCGGTGTTATCTTCGGTGTTATCAGCTTCATATATTATATTATATATGCGAAGCCCGTATTCCGTTAATTTTTTCATACATGTAGCACTTCGGCAAAACGTCCAATGTCCTATTCTTGTTCCTACAGCCAAGGATGACATAGTTTTCAAATGTTGTGTCGGACAAGATATGTTATACAACGGATGGAATTCTGACGCAACGTCGACCAAATTAACATCCAATGAAAACCGTGGAAAAACCCAGGCTTTGCTCAGGCGTAGTACATTCTGTCGACATGCTCCGCTTGACAATGTTTTATAACAGTGCTAATAATAATATATTAATGCTGGGATAAAAATAAAACCAATGAAAATATTTGCAATCCTTTAATTACCGATGAACCGAGATAAGTGCACGAAGGTCTTCGTGTACAAACGGACGTTTCTCATAGCAAAAATGCGAAGGACGAACCAGAAACTAAAAATACGACCTGTCCGAGAATTAATATTTAAACAATGAAGATAATTTTCGTTAGATGAAGTCAAATTTCATTGAAATATGCTCGTCCCCTTTGGTAACATGTCAAGGACGCTAAAATCCAATGTCCCAATCAAACAATATGATGATAATGAATATTATATATCAGCTATATTTTAGTGCGTCCCGAAATTAACCTTGGAGACCACCACTCATTTGAGAATGTTAATAGTAACTTAATACACTTCATTCATGTTGAGATGATAAAAGTTTAAACATACAAGAGCCCTTCCATGGTAATATCAGAGATGTTTTCTTTATTTCAAAGCTGAACGTCAGTCCTTATGAAACTATGTACAATGCGCTAATAGTTGCTGAGTGATAACAAGTGCACGGATATCTAGACTTTGCATAAAACATTTATAATGACCTGTACAAAGAGCTTTGCAAACACAGAAAGTCTATGTCTAAAATCAAAGTTTTTGAGACTAAATACCTTTTAATTGATGATCCGATTGTAATGTTGAAATAGAACGGTAACAAAATATTAGTACTGTGCCCACAGAGGTTGTGACGTTGGCTTGCGCAAGTATGATCGGTAATTTTAGCAACTTGTTAAATATTTAGTTTAAGCATGCAGGGCCATATAAAAGGTCATGAAGGATATGAATTTCCGAGAAAGGGGATGTACAAAATGCTGTAAATTGGTGACATGTACAATATATACATTTAAAACATTTTTGCTCTTCTATACCAAGTGTGCATTGGTCAATCTAACATATTTTGACCGCAACATTTTTCATAACCCTGAAGCAATTGGCTGTTCAACTTTCATATACATTTTACATACCTTTCAACATAAATATTATATTGATACATACGGTACAAACTATATCTATATGATAAAAACCTGGGACTATATACAATGCAGAGGTTGTAAATGTTAGATACAAATGTTTAGGACTTCAACACAGTCCATTTCGTTCTAGTTTTTGAGAGTTCTTCTTTGTGAAAGTTTCAAACTGTCAGTACACAAAAGACTTGTGTGCAGCTATACGGCTTCCACTTCATTTTGCTTCGATCGCGAATCACAGCAGTTCAGGCGATCTATGGTGTAAATCTCTCGTCTCCTGTCAGTCCCCTGCTCCCTCTGCCTCCTACATCTACACGTAAACAACTGTTTACAGTCCTTCCTGAAGGATTTGTTGACAAAGGCGTAGATGAATGGGTTGAGGATGAAGTTTAACAGGTACAGTTTGCTGACTATCTCAAACAAGGTGATGGACAGTTGCGTGGTGGTCGTGAAGAAGAGATATCCCAAGTTGAGGTTCAGGATGCAGTACGGCAGCCAGGTGAAGAAGAAGACAAAAGTTACGAGAACGAAAAGTTTGACCGTCCTGTAGTTGTTACCAGCGCCAAGAGGGGACAGACTCGGCCTTTTCTTTGTCAAATTTTCCGCTTGAAAGTTCTGTATCGACGATGGCCTTCTTGAGTTGCTGACCACGGCGGCGCCTACCTTTGTCGACAATCTCCGTCTAGTTCTGCGAATGTCAAGGTAAACAATCGTGTACAAAACAATCACGATGACAACACAGAGCAGGACGATAACCGGCTGGTACCAGGCCACGAAGTACTTGCAGACTCCGTCATACTTCAGTTCACAGAAGTTGATCTTGTCGCTGACGTGGAAGAAGTCGTAGCACGGCAGTATCGGCAACGGGAGGACCATGCCCAGCGCGACCGAGCTGGCGGCCGCTATCCTGGCCCTGTTCACCGCTAGTATCTTGGACGAGGCGTACTTGAAGGGCCTGCAGATCGCCAGGTACCTGTCCACGGCGATGGCGACTGTTATGAAAGTAGACGTGAGCATAGCGGCACATTCGAACCACTTGAACAGCCTACAAGTCTCCACGTTCGCGAAGAGGTTGAACATCGTGAGCGAGGCCTTCACTTCGAGCGGAATCAAGATGGCGGACGCCACTCCGTCCATGATAGCCAGGTTGAGGATGAAATACGACGGGGACTTCTTCTGCTTCTTCCTGATCATCACAACGGTAACCAGAAGGTTCCCCAGCGTCCCGCAGGCGCACAGTATGGAGAGAATGATGGCAATGGGGACGTGGACCGGAGCATGAGTGTTGTTCAAGTCCGAGGACGTTATGCTGCTGTTTAGGTACAGTCCCGGAGTCAACCATGGTCGAAACCCGTACGTGAAGTTGTACTCTGAAATATTCTGGAACCTGTCGTTTTGGAAACTCGGATAGAACGGGAGGAAAACCCTCTCTGATTCCCAGTCCCAGTCCGTCATGTTGAAACTTGTGAAAGGTTCCACCACTCACTCTACCTTACTGACGATCTTCTACCGACTGACATATGGCACCGTGGAGCGGCGAGCGTATTCGAGCAAACTGGCTCGAACTGACGGACACAATCCGTATCTTCGGGTGTCTCCAAATAGCACGTTTCCGTTTGAGCTATTTTCGTAAGATACACACGAAGGCGGGCCGCCTTGAGTATACCAACCCGCGTGTGTGTGCGCGCGTTGCCGCAGGTTGATGGGAACGGCGACAGGTGGCCCCTCATACCGCACGGCTAATCTGAAACATCTTAAATCTTGCCGCATGTCACCGCGTAATGAGAAAATTGTCACCAAGAAGAATTTACGAGGAGTATAATAAATTCACTGCATGACAAAATGTCCCCGTTGTTACCATGGTTTATTGTGTGCTATAGATACAGCCAAGCTGGTAGACTCGCGCGCTATAGGTATGTGAAAACATATCAACATCTGGAGTGGTGTTGCAAAGCAAATATATGTTTGGGTTTCGGCTTACGCAACGTGCTTTAGGTAATAATAAAAACAGAATGTTTGATAATCACTATCATCATCATAGCTTGATAATCACTATAATTAGTTGACAAATATGGACGTTTGCCTTCACCCTGTGGGTCAGGTGATAATAAAAACAAAATGTTTGGTAGTTACTATAATAAGTGGCCTTGAATAATTAGTTGTCTTTACCCTGTCCAAAAATAAGTGCCTTAGTGCAGAAAAGTTGTTTGAATTGAATAACACTGTAACTGTGTAAGTGTATAGCTGCGAAAGCCTTACGTTCATTCACACCGTGAATGCGTGGTGATGGAGGTGTGGCACTCTTAAAACACGGGAGAGAGAGAGAGAGGGGAGGGGAGGGGGAGGGGAGGGAGGAGGAGGGGAGGGAGAGAATGAGGAGGGAGAGGAGGGAGGGAGAGGAGGGAGAG